GCTGTCCTGGGTCAGACCAAAGGTCCATCTAGCCCAGTAGCCTGTCTGCCGACAGCGGCCAACCCTAAGGACCCTGGAGAGGATGGACCGGAGACAGTGACCAAGCCATTTGTCTCGTGCTATCCCTCTCCAGCCTTCCACAATCCTTGGGCAGGGACACCACTCCTACCCCCTGGCTAATACCACTCCATGGACCCAACCTCTATGACTTGATCTCACTTCCCTTTAAACTCTGTTCTAGTTGTAGCCTTCACAGCCTCCTGCAGCAAGGAGTTCCACAGGTTGACTCTTTGCTTTGTGAAGAACAACTTTCTGTTACTAGTTTGAAGCCTGCTACCCATTCCTTTCCTTTGGTGTCCTCTAGTCCTTCTTTATGGGAACTAATGAAGAACTTTTCTGTATGCACCCTCTCCACCCAACTCCTGCTTTTAGAGACCTCTATCCTGTCCCCCCTCCGTCTCCTCTTTTCTAAGCTGAAAAGTCCCAGTCTCTTTAGCCTCTCTTCATATGGGACCTGTTCCCAACCCCTGATCATTGTAGTTGCCCTCCCCTCTCCCACCCTCTCTCTTCCCCTCTCCCACCTCCTATTCCCAGTCTCCCCCAGTTTTGTTCAATAAAGACAGATTCCATTTTTGAACACACGTGTCCTTTATTTTGTACATCAAGAAAAGGGGCTAGGGAAGGGTAAGTGGAAGGAGGTGAGGGAGGAATGGGGCACAAGCCCCCAATGGGGAGGACTGGGGTGGCTCTGCGGGCTTCTGGGGTCGGGACCCTTTAAGCACAGCCCTCGGCTAGCCTGAGACAGCATCTCCACGCTCTAAGTCCTCCTCTGATGCCCTGCCGGTACTGCTTCTGGCCATCCTCAAGCCTGGTTCAGGGTCCACTTAATGTGGACGCGCTAGTTCGAATTAGCAAAACGCTAATTCAAACTAGTTTTTAGTTCTAGACGCGTTAGTTCGAATTAGCTTAGTTCGAATTAACTAATTCGAACTAAGTTAGTTCGAATTAGCGCTGTAGGGTAGACATACCCTCATTGGGGTCTCCAGCTGGAGTTCCTGCTGCAGGAGCCACAGTCTCCTTCCCCTCTGACTGTGTGGCAGTGGGCAACACTTGTCATCAGTGTCTCTCTAATATTTTCCTTCCCTGAGTGGAGTGTGTTTGGTCTTGTGCACCAATACTGAGGTCATGGGCACTTGTTGGGACGTGTGCCATGAAAATTCATATTTAAACAGGAGTCTTGTTACTTCTGTACAAATAATTTTTTAATAAATGTTATTCGTCTCCATTCAGTATGAAGCATGACTTTCAGCCTAGCTCCCTGAGTCCTTGTGCGTATTTCCCTTAATATGGGTGTTTTCCTTAAAGTTTCTTTGAAGAATATTGCTGTTAGATTTCCTAAGATGTGACATGTTCCAAAACAAAACAAATCGCTTTTGTCCAAGCCCCACATGTATCACAAAATGCAAATCTTAGTTTCTTTTTCCCTGCTGAGGGCTTACTTTAATTCTTGCCGCTATCTAAGGGTTTGTCTATACAGTGGAGCTATTTCAGGATACCAGAAGAATCCTGAAATAGCTATTCTGCATCTATTGAAGCAGCCCGTTATTTCAAAATAGTTTTAGAAATAACGAGCAGCTTATCTGTGATATTGTTCCACAAGGGTTAAAGGACATTTTGGAATAGCAAGTTATTTCAAAATTTGGCATTGTGTGCCAAATTATGAAATAAGCTATTTTGAGATAGCGTTGAAATAAGCTATGCATTTGCTTAGTGCACATTGTGTAGCTTATTTCGAGCTAAGGGTGCTATGTAGATGCACCTTAAATGTTTACAGGAGATCTATAATGTGGGTCCAGAAACTTGTCTTTAAAATAGTGCTTTTAATTTTACATAAGACAGATCTATAACACAAATATAACAGCACCCCCATGGTGATCCACAGACTCCTCTGACATGTAAGTACGGGGCAACATGCTGTTAATGTTGTACTGTACAAGAGACACTTGCCAAAGGCTAAAGTGAAGCATGTCACCACTGGACTCCTGTAGCAGAAGGGCACCACAATGCTCCACCACAGGGAAATCCTGACGGGCCCACTGTGCTCGGCAGCATTGTAGCTTGCACCTGCTGTAGCCTGATCGCCTTGCTTGAGCTTGGCTTGGTTTGCAAGGTATTTATGGGGCCTTAGGTCACCTCTTCAAAATACTCTTTGCGGTAGAGCTGGAGGGAAACTGTTGTTTGTTTATTTGTTTCAATAGTTTAGAAAAATGCTGAGTTAGAAAAACAGCCTGTTCCTAGACTGCTGAGAATCAGCTGAGCCATGTCCTCCATCCCTGAGGGGGTTTTTACTCTCCTGGGCTCAAACACGTCTCCTACTGGGGCCAGACTGAAGGGTGAATACACCGTCAATGGGCCCCGAGTGTGGACTGCCCCTTTTCCTCCAGTGTCTCTCGTGAGAACAGTCCATTGGCTACGGTTGTGTGAGAAGATCTTTTATAATAGGCAGTGACATTGGTACTTGGTGATGGTGGCCGGGGGTTGTTCTGAAAGGCCGCTGGCACCATTTGACCCTTTTCTTCACTCTGCATACGTCTACACGCAGGGCTAAAGCCAAAAGCCGACTGGCCCAGCCGAGCGGTGGGTGTCACAGAGGGACTCTCAAGCCTGCACTGCTGGGAATTGGATGGGTCTGACATCTCTGTGTGTCTGTGACTGGCCATTGAATGTCGCCCTGCTTGGGCCTTTCTCCCCTTGATAACAAACGTTTAGGATCAGACATTGACGGGCGGGGGCAGCGCAACATTTTGTGTGTGATACAAACCCAGCCACGTGCTGCCAGGAGAACAGTCTGGGGCCAGGAGAACAGTCTGTGCCTGGGAGCAGGGTTTGAATGTGCATCTCCCTGTCCCAGGCCCAGGCCCAGCACTGATGGGGAGCCAAGATGCTGGGATGCAGCCAAGCCCTGGGACCAGCAGCCTCTGTGGCAAGGGAGAGAAATGGCATTTGCAGGGAGGCTGCCCCAGGCCTTCCCCTCCCCCCCACGCCTGCTCATACAAACATCAGGGCTCCAGGGCACAGCCCCTGCACCTGCCCCTCAGGCCAGCTGACCTGAGCCCTGGATCTAGGGCCTGAGTCACCTGCTCTTGTTTGGGCCCAGGATGGGGTGGGGGGGAGTAGCCCAGCCAGAGCTTTAGGGCTTTGCTGGAGGCCAAGGCAGCCCCAGGAGGGCCCAGGGAGGTCTGAGCTCAGAGGCAGGAGGAGGAGCCCTGAATGCTGACATGACACTGGTGGCCTGGCTGGCCCTGCTCCCTCTGGGCACCTTTCCCCTCAGGCAGCTGCCAGGCACTCGGCACTTATTGCTTCTCCACGGCCGCTGGGCTTCCCAGAACTCCTCCCTCCCCTTCCCTGGCTTCCTCAGTCCCAGGCGCCATGGCCCTTCCTGCCAGCTGGAGACTGCAGATTCTGGGCCCCTTCCTGTGGGTCTGAGCCTCCATGGTGCTCCTAAAGGGCTCCCCAAGGGACTGGGGAGTGTGTGGCCTAAAGGAAAAGGTGTTTGGTCTAGGATCAGAAGACTGAGGGTTTGAATGCCTTTGCTGTGTCTGTTCCTGTGGTCCTGATGTTTTCAGCCTGGAAACCTCCTCTTGGCTCCAGCTGGGCTTTGGGAATGTCGAAGCAAACGCCTCACTCAGTTTACGTGGCTAAACAGACAGTTTTATTGGCCAATAAAAGCAAAGTGAGCCAAACATGGTCTCAGCAAAGCCGGGTCCAGTAAGGCTGCCTAATACAATCAATTCTAGTATCTTTATACCCTTAACCAAACAGTCTGACGTCAGGGCATCCAATTACAGAAATAATCAATTAAACTAAGAAAAACAAAGCCTTATCAACAAGATGGCGGACAGGTACGAGGGAGTACCTCTCCTCTCTGAACCAGCCCAATTAACACATTCCAATAGCACATCTGTCTTGGCCTGGTGCATGGGGTGATAGAAAGTTCACTCTGGCCTACGTGCAAAGACAAAAATCTGAAATGGTTTCTGTTATACAAGATGGCTTCTAGCTAAACATAAAATAGCTTCTACAATCTCCCCCCTTTTAGCCTTTTAAAGGCTAACCATGAAACCGTTTTACATCTCCATTTTCATCAAAGCCTTTATATACATTTCTTGTTCCTCTCTCTGCTCATCATATTTTAACATCATTACTTCCACATTCCCTTTAGTGAGGGTCTGTCCCTTGTTTTCTAGAATACAAGAAATACAGCATTTGATTAGCAAGAGAGGGAGTACCTCTCCTCTCTGAACCAGCCCAATTAACACATTCCAATAGCACATCTGTCTTGGCCTGGCGCATGGGGTGATAGAAAGTTCACTCTGGCCTACGTGCAAAGACAAAAAGCTGAAATGGTTTCTGTTATACAAGATGGCTTCTAGCTAAACATAAACTAGCTTCATCAAATCTCCCCTTTTAGCCTTTTAAAGGCTAACCATGAAACCATTTTACATCTCCATTTTCATCAAAGCCTTTATATACATTTCTTGTTCCTCTCTCTGCTCATCATATTTTAACATCATTACTTCCACATTCCCTTTAGTAAGGGTCTGTCCCTTGTTTTCTAGAATACAAGAAATACAGCATTTGATTAGCAAGAAACAAAAATAAGCACAAAAGAATATAGCCAATACTAAAACTACACCTTGCAAAATCCAAGTTCCTACATATCCAAACCAGCCTCCTAGCCAATCCCAGAGGGTCCAGTCTTCCCCCTGCCTTAAGCGTTCCACAGTTTTTTCAATCTCTGAGGCATCTTCTTCCACTTCTTTGCTGGTGTCGGTGATATACACACAGCATTCCTTTCCTACTAAGGCACAAACCCCGCCCTTACTAGCTAGGACATAGTCTAGGGCCATCCGGTTCTGGAGAACCATTTGTCTCACTTCTCCTAGTTCCATATTAATGGCACGGAGAGCTTTGGTTGTGGCATTAGCTACTTTCTCGAAAGCTACTTCCAGCCTCCGAATTTCTCTTACTGCATAGGCCACACCCAATCCTGGGAACGCAATTCCCCCAAAACCGCTGTGTTTCTGTTATCTCTCGGTAATTTCGGATTCTACTCCCAGGGAGATGGTTAGTGATTCGAATGGCTGGGAAGGCTGCTCCAACGTAGCAGGTTCCACTCCAGCCCTTGGGCAGTGTTTTGTATGCTTGGCGACCACATATAAAGTAATGGCCAACCTTTGCTGTTAAGGTCCTTTGGCATTGGGGCTTCATCATCCATTGCAAATAGTACCCATCGATTCCAAAGTCATAAGGGCCTTTGTTATTTTCCCAGGTGTTATTTCTGTTCCATACTCCATTCAGGACAATGTTTACCTCACACCTGCTTTTCCGGCCAACCTTTGCTGTTAAGGTCCTTTGGCATTGGGGCTTCATCATCCATTGCAAATAGTACCCATCGATTCCAAAGTCATAAGGGCCTTTGTTATTTTCCCAGGTGTTATTTCTGTTCCATACTCCATTCAGGACAATGTTTACCTCACACCTGCTTTT